GGGGGTGCGATCCCCCCGCCCCCCGCGCCCGTGGACGCCGTGGAGTTGGCGGGAAGGAGGACTTCAGCCGCGGTACGTTTCCTGACCGAAGGGACGAGGTGGACATTTTTGAGGCAGCCCGAGCGGCCGGCAGCATCTGCCGCCCCTCCCCCTCCCCAGCTGTTGATGATCGTGTTTTTGTGGGGAATTCGCGCACAACAGCTCGCCATCAGCGCGCCCTGCGCTGGCGGGGGGCGGCGGGGCCGCGTGTGGCTTTCACTGCGGGGGGCTGTTGAAGTTACGCGCCTTGCCGTGCCTTACCTCGACAAATGGTGACGGAAATCACATGCGGGTACCACCGCGAGCCGGGGTTGGTGGTAACTTGAAATAATTAGAAAAGCAAATAGTGCTGTACTGTCCAAGTTCTCACTGAAATTGTCACCCTTCCTTGCCTGGTTTCCTTAAATAAGGCCTACTAATGTGCTTTTGTTTTCTTTTCAGGTCTGGGAGCGTAGCAAAGAATTGGCATGAAATATTTGATTTTGTAAATCAGCTGACGGAAAGATTTGTGAGGTGCGTTTTGCTCCTTGTGACATCTGTAGTACTGGGATATGTTGAAAAAAACCCCGTGCTTTAGTAAGGTCACTAGATACGTTTCACGAACAGGTTAAGGGTTTGGCTTCTAGTGCGCAAATTGCTGGAAAATATTGGGAAGTTTTACTTCATTTTCTCATGTTTGGAGCTCAGTAAATAGGTGGTGATATGCATCGCTGAATACTTAATCTCTAAAATTACTCTCAGACTGATGATTTTTTAAAACTTTTTTTTTCCGTAAGCCACATGCCTCATTCCTGATGGAGTGCTTCTTCTATGTTGCTTTGAGAGAGCTATATAAAGAAGGCGATCTGAGTACTTGTCTATATATGTAAATATATGGTGCAGGTCAAAAGGAAGGGAGGATCTTTCAAGCTCAAACATACAGGAAGTTTATGCCACAGTATATTTGTTGTACATATATGTCGTCAACTTTGTAACCGGCTAGCAGTATTGTCTGGCAAGTATTGCTGCCACAGAAACGACTGTTATAAATACTGGCTAACTGTACTCTGTACAAACAGCTGAGCATTACGTTTTGCTTTAGAAAAAAACCTCAACAGAATAAAACAAAGGAAGCCACCCAAAGACACAGACATAGATGTTGTGGTAGTTTTTGCTAAGGAAAATGAAATGCAGTGGGCAATTCTAATCTTGGCTTGCTAATAAAGGGATACAATTAGGCTTGCATAATTAAATATTGCTTACATTCATCCTGTAAAAAGCAAATCTTCTGTGAACCAAGTGGGTGACAAGCTTTTGAAAGTTATTTTGTAAGCTCTGGAATAAAAAATAAAAAAGAGCCTGAGGGTACCAAAACAGCACTTCTTTTCAGTGAGTGGTGAAAAAATACATTTGCCCCCACCGAAAGGGTGGTGCTTGTTCAGTGTAAACCTTTCAGTTCATCATCTTTTGCAGCCAGGTGACGCTCCCTTTTGCAACAGTTGTTGCGTAGTGGTCTGGCGGCATTATCTGAAATAAAGCTGTTGAATTGGCAAGTTATTCCGCTGACCTTTCACACCAAAGGAGCATCAATTATGGCGCAGAGCCAGACAGTCCAACCTACGAGCGTCTCGCTCGGTGTCCGGGTGCTGAGGACTCAGCCTTACGCGGGACAAACCCTTCACGGCCTGACGGCTGTTGGGCTCTTTGCGGGAGCCTGAGCAGTATGTCTCCCCGTGTGTTTCCCTGATGGGGCTGGAGTGCCTCTGAAGGCTGGTGAGGCTTTGTCCTGCCCTGAGGCCTCAGTTCACTTTCAGAATCGGGCATGGAGTCATTCGACCTTGCTCTTTCTGAAATTGAAAAGAGTAGATGTGGGAAGAAGAACCCAAAGAACCAGTTGGTAGCAGTTTCCTTCAGTCCTCACCTGAAGAATTAGTTCATAGCAGCGCATCTGCTCTCCAGTTTGACTGGTCTGTAACGTGCATGTTTGCAGTAACAGCGCTGCATGCTGATTATCTTGGTTCTGAAAGGCCTGCGCCTGGCAGGGCTGTCGGGTCGAACGGGTGCGTTCATACGATCCTCCTCCACCGTCACAGCGCCCGAGCGCTCGGAGAGTGGAACAGAAATGGGATGTCTTGTGAAGAGGACAGTTTCGTGGTTGCCCTAAAGACAAGTTAGCTAAATCGTACCTTTGAGGTTATTATGCACAGAGAGTTGCATATCAAATAGGGAAGTCTCACGTTACTTGGAGTAGGCGGTGACGTAATTTCCGGAGACTGGGATTGCAAGTACTTGTTTGTTGTTTGGCAACTGCTTGTGGCAGCTAAGAAGACTGATAATCCCCTGGTTTAGATTATAATTTAATTTAGAGCATCTCAGATTTTTGTATTCGGAGCCTTAACGCGTAGACTGCAAGACTGGATCTTAAATCCAAGATCTGTGCAGTTCTGTGCCAAGACTTGCCCAGTACTTGCATTTCCACGATGTCAATAATTTTAAGTTGCATCACTGACATAAGTGAACTGAAAATGTATGGTCATTCATCTTTACAAGTGTTACGACTTTACTGACATAAACCCAATTAATTAATGCTGATACACATATACAGTGAATTACAAAAGTACTGAATACATTGAAATTGTCATGAATAAAAGTTAAAAGCAGGTAGGAGAGATGTTGTTACAACTTACCTTAGGAAAGTTACTGTCTTGGGCTTCCGGAGCATCGGTTCTTGTGCATTTTTCACTCATAGTTGGATATAATTCCTCGCAGTCTTCTTGGAAGAGACAGATGGGCTTCTTCAAAAAAAGATTAAATTCCTTAATAAAATCAATTCGTACAGTATTGCTTTTTATAATGGCGTTTCCCCGGGTACTTTTACGGAAGTTGATCTTAAGTGTCACAACTCTATGTCACCGAAACAAAAACATACTCATTCTGAGAGAGTTTGTCATGCTACTTTTTTAGAGTTTGAATCAGTCGAAAGGCACTGTTTCTTTGACTTCGATGATTTTATGACCAAAAAGCACAGTTAGAAATTTACATTGTGTCAGGATCAACCTTTGAAAAGGGGAAACTGACTTTTGAATGTGTCCATGTTTAATACCCCGGAGCAAGAGTGTGCCCTGAGTCTATGTCCCTGACTTATTTTTACACCAGTGACCATGAAAATATAAAAGGATGTGTTATCTCCTGTCCGTTGGTAAATCACAACCTATGAAGTTCACTTTCAGCCTGTGAAGTTGAGTCGCATGAGATCTTAACTGTTAAGCTTAGCATGCCTTGATCTGGGGTCTAGTCAGGCAAGAAAGAGTAATAATTCTGCTACTTCATTCTCGAACCATCTGGGTAAGGAGTAGATGGGCAGAAATCCTTTAATTCCTCTCTCATTCTGGGTTCGTAGTTCAAAAGTACGATCTTTGGAAGCTGGAGGATAAAGATGATACTAATGAAGCATGAGTAAGTGAATGAAATGCTGTGCATCTGTACATTTCTCTTCATTTGTCTAAAATGTATTTTTTTTCCTCTTTCCTTTTTTAAAAGCCCCAAGATGAGATTATCGTTTATCGTGTTTTCCACCCAGGCACAGGTCATTATGCCATTAACTGGAGACAGGTTAGTGCACTGCTTTTTTAATTCTCCCTCTCCCTCCGCTCCCCCAAGGGCTCTTATTAAATCAGAGGAACAGTAACAGATACTGAACAATAACTGATACCTTTGAGTGGTGGCCAGTCATGAAGCCTCTGTGCAGAGCTGGATTTAATTTTGTGAACATACCAGTGGATAGCCTAGTAAAAAACGAAGGAGAAGAACGATGGGAAATAAATTCTTGACGTGAACTCTGCCACTGCTTTGCGGAACAACTACGAGTAATGTTTTCGTCTCTGCATGACTCTGCATCTTCCTTGGCACAGCAGGAGAAATGTTTCTTGCTTTTACTTTTGTAAAGCATTATCTGTAGATAAGGCTTCAGTATTTTCTCACGTCTGGGTAAAGCGTACAATCTTAAATTCATGTTTCCCATAATCTCATGTAAGGTATTTCGTTTTGTATTTTCAAATCACAACTTCAAAATCGGTTTCAGACAGTGGAGTTGGTGCCACTCGAAAAGTGTGAGATCTTTCTGGCACTGCGATGATGTATGGACGTGTCTGAATTCTTCCTTTCAGTTGATGTTTTCAAAGGCAGTGGAATTCAAGGCTGCTAACTCTGATTTCTAAAGCAAATAAGGATTAGCAGCTAGGGTAGGTGAAGGATAGGTGCGAGGAAACAGAAGGAGAAAACCAGGTAGAGAAGAGATTGTTGCAAAATTAACTACTAAAATCACAGGAATTGGAAAATGATATTGTGGAATCAGTGCTTTCAGCAGAGAACAGTTGCACTGTTGTCAGAGTCCTTCAATATCCTTTCAGCCTTGTCGAAAACAACACCACCTCCTTTCTCTCTCCCTTCTATCCAGAAGCTAACCACACTGCACAACTTTCTGGATTTTGAACATGTGGATAAACCATTTAGGAATCGTTGTAATGAACTGTGGCAGGGTGGAAGCGAGGTGGTCCTTCCTTTCTGCTCCCTTTAGTAGAGTCAATACAAACTGTGGTCTGCCATAGTCAGTTAGTTTACTGCGTGGTGTTTGTTTTTTTTTTTTTAAATACGTAATAGCGAGTACAAGACTTACTGAAGAGACCTGTCATTGGAAACAGACAAATGTGTCACGCTACAGAAATGTATGCTGACATCCTAGAAAAAGGTTGTCTAAAGACCCAATTCTAAGCCCCTCCTGTTTTAGCATTTAAAAAAGTGGTCTGACTTGAGAACGGCCAAGTTTTCACTTCCCCCCACCCGGACTTGGATACTGGATCTGCTCTCTGCGGGGAGAGACAAGGTTATAAGCCATTTTTCCGGATGGCTTGGGAGAGGTCAGGAGAGGATACTTAAGCCTGTTCTGAGGACTGCCGAAGTCAATGAGATCCTTTCTCTCGATTTCAATAGGCCCTTAATCCCTGTCAGTGGCCTATTCCTTATCAAGCACAGAGTCAGCGCTGACAGCGTACAGACCGCTTGGAACGCTTGGCTGGAACTCTGGAACTCCGCCATGGAAACACAAGCGCCTGTTTCATTGCATGTCTGTGGCACACGTTAAGCCATGGAAAGAACCATGCTTTTCTCGGAAGCCTGGTTGAAAGCATAGAAAGAACCTTCTTGAGTTGTAGTGAGTTCCTTTGTGGGACTTCTCTTTAATGCAAGGTTTGCTGATGCTTTTGTGAGTGTGGTAGGGGAAAGGAAATTACTACCCTTACTGTTTAGGAGGAATTATAAGGAGAATGAAGAAGGAGACATTAGTAACTGTGACCGTACGTACATAGGTAAGATTGGGTAGATGCAGTTGGAACAGCTGTCCTTCTAAATATGAAAGAAATCAACAGAGGAAAATGACTTAGAATGTCTGACTCCCATTGTCCAAACAGAAGATGAGGATGCTAAGTACAGTGCAGTTTTGGGGATGGGTGTGTACGTGTGTGTGATTATGGGATACTATGGCCTTGGGTGTTTTATGTACGTTTTGGACTTGCAGGGACGTTTTTGCTTACTTGCTAATTTGCAAACATCAGGAAACCACAGTTCATTCCCAGCAGTTAGTTCAAAGTAGGAAAGTCTTTTTTGTTTTGAAAACCTTAGGCTCCTAATTGTTTGCACAAAGTTCTTGCTGGTTTTTACTGCGTAATAAAGCTGTGGATATAAAGAAACCCACACCATAGCGCCGAAGCCCCCAGATTACCAAATGTTTTGTGACTATGAGCCAGTGCTATGTGAGTAACTCTGGAAACAGAAGTCACTGTTAACCACAGTACACACAATGCTGTAATAAATACATAGAATAAAAATAACACCCAGATGGAAAAGACTTCTCACAATGGTTATATCCCATTTTAGAGATACACATTTCTCCTGTGAAGTTTAGCTGGAAACTGTATGCTAAGTGGGAAACAAAGATTTGTGCATTCGCATTTGGGGCTCAGTTTCGCTACTGTATCCTGGCCAGCAGAATTTCAGGTTTCTGTAAACCTGCTTCTACAGCATTTGACCGATGCCATGGCCAGGACTAGCCCTGCTGACTGCTTAGGTGAAACTCCTGTTGGAGCTAAAGAAAGATTATATTAATGAGGGTGGAAAACCAAGACACTTTAAGTACCTGGTACGTGACCAACTGTACCTTACTGTGCTTGTCTATAGTCTGGTGGAGCACAACTATTCCTTTATTGCACATGGACATGGGAGCTAGCAAGACATTGATGCGTTTTGAGCCTCGGTCATGTGAGCTAACCCTACGCTTTGGTTCAAGAAACTTGCCAAAATAGAGCCATCTGCAGAGAGCGCGTTCTGCCGAGTGTATAAAGTACGGCAAAGGCAGCCACTTACGTGTTTCCCATCTGGATCCCATGCAGGACGCCTGAAGTTTGAAGCAGAATAATTACTATAATTGTACCGAGCCCTCTGTAGTATTTGGGGGGTGTAGACAGCAGGAACCTCCTCCAGATTATGCATCTGAGGTGGCTGATGTGCAGGGTTTACTTGCCCCAGTATGACAGCTCTGTTCGTCAGGGATGTAACCATCCCTCTTTTTGTTAAAGAACACTTCCCCCCCCCCTTTGTTTCACTAGCAAGTTTGTGTGTTTTCCTGTTATTATACTTCCTTTTTAGCAGCAAAACCTAAGCACCTGTTTTGTTTGCCTTCATTTGTTAGAGATGAAGTACTTGGCCCTCGCAGGCACATAGCCTCTTTCCTGATGATAAATATATGCTCGCTGGGAATCACAATTTCCCTGCCAGTGCTCCTACTCTCAACACGCTGAAAAACAATTCGAGATTCCAGCACTTCAATAGGTAGAATGCAACATGGAGAAGAAATATCAGATACTGTCCCCCATCCGGAAGAGCTAAGAACACCACTACTTAAAACTGCATAGATAAGAGACTCAGCATTTCCTACAAGGCTAGCCCCTTGCCCAACTGAATCAGCATGACCCGAGGCTTATGTGACAGTTTCAGCTGGTTCTAACCTCCGCAGCACTGATGTATAAGCACAAAATTTTCTCCCTCAAAAAAAGCAGGGATATGAATGTTTTTTAAGATTCAGTCGTCAAGCATGCTTTGCTTTCTAGCAAGTATAAGCCTTTCTTTGTACATGTTGAAGATGCATTTATTTCCATTAAGGCAAATGGTTGTCCCTTTCTGTTAAGTGTTCTTGCTCTCAGTAAGAGACAGTATCGCGTCTCTCAGAAGCTGAGGTGGCTTGTGCCTTGTAACTGGTCTGTAGCTTTATCGCTGGTCCTCTCAAATGGGGGTGTGATCTACATCCTGCTGTAGCAGAAGGAAGTATTACGTGTCTTCCACTGCCAGCGAGTGCTGACTGTGGCCCTGTCTACGCAAGGAAACGAGGCAATGCCTTAACAATATCAGTAGTCCGACCACTTGGCTGCTGACAACACTGTTTTTAGTATTGTGTCAATTAAACTTACTTAAAGCAAGAGATACTACTAAACAGTGATGAAAACAGTACCTGTTGAGTTGCCTAAATAAAAGCTTGCAGCTTGGTGCAACAGAGCTTGCGCGGAGGAACCTCTCCTGTAAACTGGTGATAGTTGCCTTGATGTAATTAGAACTCGGCAAGGCAAACAGTTACATTTAGACCTGAAAGTAAATCTGAATTGTGGAGCATGCTCAGGTAAGGAGAGGTTGCTGCATTTTAATTTACGTTAAATTGATTTCTTCAGTTGTTTGCAAAGCTGGGCTGCTTTGTAATCTCTCTTTACTAAATGGTCTGTTTTCAGTTCTAAATTTCGTTCTGCAGTGCCCTGCCTTGGGGAGGCACTGAAGGTACAAGACGAGCTCGGTGTAGACTTTGGCCCGTGCAGGGAGCAGTATTTGTAGATAGGCTCGTATGCCTCGCAGCAGAGTTGGCACAGCCTCCCTCACAGCAAACAAGCCCTCTGCAGCTGAGGTGTCTAGTATGCTCGTCCAAGGTCCTGCTCTCTGAGGTAGAGCACAGCAGAGTTCCCCAGAGAGGTAAGAGCAGTGGGCGCCGCTGAAGCTGCCACCAGAACCTCGCCTGACCTCAGCCGGGCTGGGATGACGCCTGCAGTCCCTGTTCGTGGATTAGCTAAAAAGAATCCACAGAGCAAAATGACGGAGAGCTTGTAGCCATGGTTGTGTTTGGCTGCTGCTGGAAGAATTATCTGAAGTGGTTACAAAGCTTAAAAGAGAGAACAGACAGGATAGCTATTAAAAATTAGATGTGCCTTTTCTAAATAACAGAGATGTGATGCAGCCCATATGCTGAATGGGGAAGAGATATTAAATTTGTACTCATTCAGCCCAAACACAGACAGGCTGCAAGTTGCTGATTTTGTTTTGCTTTTTCCACCTACCTCCCTTGTCTGACTTAAACCACGAAGCCAATGTCGCTTCAGCCTTTATCGCTGTTACTGGACCGTACTGCGGTAGTGTCCAGACACCCAGACTGAGGTCATGGCTCTGTTATTTCAGTACAGAGGAGTTTTAAAACCAGACCTTCTCTGTGGGTTTTTGTGGCTGCAAAAAATTATTCCAGAAACTAGAGAAAGGAGAGTTCTGAGAGCACTGAAGAGAGGGCTTCAGAGTGGTATGGGTGGCTGACTAAAGTAAGTCCCGTTATCAGAGCGATTCAGGCAGACGCGAGCTCCTGTGCCCGCCCTCCAAACCGGCTGGGTGCGAGTTTTAGCGTGATTGAACTAACCTCTCGTGCTGTCTGGTGGGGCTCATTTGCTGGGGCCCCACGTCCTGCACCCACATTGGCGCCTTGTGACATCCAGACCGGGACTCGCTCGTACCTGACCCGCTCGGAGCACGGGTGGAGCCTGTTCACATCTGGCTGGGCCTGTATGGTACATTTTGAGATGGTGACTGATTAAATGCAGCTAAAAAAGCTCATGCTGCCAAAGATTTTCCTGGAACCCCTTGTAGGCAGAGGCCTGGAAACACCAGAGATTTCTGGGTGACCGGGTCACAAGACATTTTAGATAAATAAAACTGAACTGATTGTACAAAAGCTATTTTTGCAAAATGAAATCTGTTTCAGAAAACTGGGACTTCAGTTGCTGCTTGTTTCTTGGCAGCAGAACACTAGCGCCTGTGATGTGCTGCCACTCATTTCTGGCAAGCACTAAGTATGTGGTTTATAATCTGCGTTCATACATAATCAGTTTCAAGTTGTTTCTATAGATGCTGAATGTAAAATATTTGGATCAAACAGATTGTATTATCTTACATAACTTGTTCTCTTCCATATATTCAATGCCACATTTCTGTCTTTTTTTCTTTTCCCACCTCCCCGATTGTATCGGTTGATCCTGTGATTGGGAGCTTATTACAGCTACGGATTGTACTTTGGAACAGAGCTGCTAAACATAGAGGAAGCCCATCAGTGGAACAAACGACTCGTGGGTGGCAGTCAGGCAGAGCGGCATATGCATTCTTTCTCATTTTGTTTGCCCTAAGGAAAGCTTTCATGCATCCTCCAATGTATTTTCCCTCCATGTCCTCACTCCTGCTGGTTTCCTCTTTGTCACCTATATTTGTTATAGTATTCTGTATATGCTGGCCCAGATTTTGTCCCTACTTAGTTTTCACTTGTCCTTTCTGAGCACAACTGTCCGTGGGCTTCACTGGAAGTTTGCTTGCATGAGAATTAAGAACTTGCAGATTTGATTCTTTCAGTAAAGTCTCTCCGCCTTTTTTTCCCCGCTCATACTGATTTCACTGGAAAGAATTCCTTTTGTGCTACCTACCAGCTTCTCCACTCTTATCATCATAGTTAAGTGAGCATCTCGCAGTCAAAGATGGATTTATTTAAAGGGCCATGAGAAACACCTTATCCTCCTGTTAAATGTAAGTGAACTGTGACCTGTGTAAGTGTGATGTCTTGTCAAAGGTCACACAGAAAGGTAGTGACAGCCAACAATTTAAAAATCTGTCCTTAGTCCTAGTAATTTTCCTTGGATACAAGAGGTGTCTTGCAAATGCTGCATTTGCCTATTGATACTTCTTTTTTGAGGGAGAAGATTTTAGTTATTGCAATTCTGTCCTACCCCCTTAAATACCTGCATATTGACCTGGAAGATTTCTCTAGAAATAGAACTGCTGTTGTCGGGGATTTCTTTTTTAATTGCAGCGTGATTGGAAGCGAAGTTGGTTTAATTGAGCAAAGTAGACTTAATATAACAGAATTTCCACTGGGCTATTTAGTGCTGAGGCTTTGCCACTTCTTTGCAATATCTGCTCCGTCTGAAACATTTTACTTTATTCTAGCTCTTTGACTCACTGAGGCATATTGTGTTATTTAGGTCTAAAATATCTGTTACCACAGTGCCGCTTCCGTTGTGAATACAAAATCTGTCTCCACATGGTATCTCAGCTAAATGCTATATTTTACGGATTTTAATTTCAGATCTCCTTTATGACAAATACTGATTTTTCCATCAATAAACTAACCCCTTTCCCCGCTTCAAATCACGCTAACAGTCTTTTACCATTTTCTTTTTAGAGAGAAAATCAAGAAAGGTCTTAAGGATTTGGAGGAGGTAAATCCAGCAGGTGACACATACATACATGAAGGATTAAAACAGGTAGGTTTTACTCATCTTCTTGCATGCACAATGTCCTCTGTTCTCACCCTTTGGATAGCAACAGCAACAACCTGTAACATAAATGGATTGACTGTATGCCTCAGTCTGGTGCGCTCGAATCTTTTTGGTTTCCTAAGTGGTCCCAAGATTGCCCAGGTACGGTGCAAATCCCATGCAGAAGATGAGCCATCGTAGAAAACTGCCATATGGAATTTCTTTGACTTAGTCCTTCGCAGTAGAGAGCGGTTCTTTGTCGTGAATTTAACAGCTAACACAGCATACCAATTACATGGTAAATAGTCACACACAGCTTTGCAGGGCTGCAAGTCTAACAGTGCCTTCTAGAGCGTGTGCTTATGGAGAGTTTACTGCACAGATCAGCATTTTCAAGACAAATGGTCTTAATTTTGGACTGTCTTATTGATGGAGTTCCCAACTGCTTATATTTTCTTGAGACATACAGTTAAAGTATACTTTGCGATTTTGCTAAAAGTCTCGGGCCCTGAAGGTGAGGGATAAGGTGAGGATCTAAGCTTTCACCGTTACGGATAGAAACTCGGTTTCTCCCTTTATGCCTACGGAGCCAAGTTTGTAATTGCGATCTGCAGCCTGAAAAGCTGGGCAAACAGAAGGTTGTTGCCATTTAAAAAAAATACTTAGTTTTAAGCCATTCTTTTTATATCTTGGAACCTACCGACTGGCATTTGAAATCTGGTGGGTAGCAAAGGAAACTTTACGGTGGATGTAAAGAGAAGTGAGCTTCACAACTCAGAGAGTATCTGTCCTGAAAGAATCAAGTGTTTCCCAGGGTTGATCAGCTAGTGACCCCCGCACTTCAGAGATGGGCTCACTGGTGACTGGAAAATACTGATGAATGATTTCCTTGTTAGCAGTGAGTTAAAGGGAGGCAGAGGATTGTCACGAGAGATGGGTTTGAAGATGAGGCTGAGCATTGTTTCAGATCCTATATTCACTTAGAGGGTGCATCTTGGTTAAAAGTTCAGGTGTAATTTTAAGCTGTATAAATGTTTTTTGTTTTCAGGCCAACGTGCAAATTGCGAAGCAAGGAGCCTCAAGGTTTTCTAGTATCATCATTACATTGACAGATGGCAAGCTAGATGGTCAGATTCCCTTGTATGCAGAGAAAGAGGTGAGCGCTAGGTGAAGATGCATGTTATATTCTGAAGAGTTTGGGTGTTGCCTGTTGAATGAAAAAATGCTTATTCCTCTGTTCTATTCTGGGGCAGGCAAAGAAATCCAGAGAGCTGGGAGCTAGAGTTTACTGTGTTGGCGTCCTTGATTTTGTACAAGAACAGGTAAGAACGTTACTATTTTAGATTACTAAGCAATACCTTGTCACAGGGTTTTGTACGGTTAATGTTCAGTAATACAGAAATAAATTTTACTTACATTAGGCAGTTTAATGTCTTCTCTGGCTTAGGAAGCCCTCAGATGTGTACGTAGACGTAAATAGAAGGTGTGGGTCTCACTTCCGTTGCCGAGAAGACCCGTCGGAAATACCCTTGCTAACTGGTAGCTGCCAGTAGGAAAGGATGCAGGCAAAATCCCTTTCATTAAGACGACAACCAGATTAGGCTACAGGTCAAGTGAACGGAGTAGCTATAGACAAACTTCAAGCAGCGTGTATATCAGCCTTGGGATAAGCAAAAGGAAGAAGGATCCATGTCCTTCATTGACTGAAAGCTCTCCCAGAGTTGCTGTGTCCTAATGAAGGCTGTAGCTACTCTTGAACCACGAAAGTGACTTAAATGGGGAAGCATACAGAAGACTCTTTACTGTAGAAGGCGCATAGAAAAGCTTTTTAATGGAAGGCAGAGCAGACAGGGAAGGTAATTATCTAAAGAGTTAAGAAATCACTGCCAAGATACAGGCCCTAAAAGATTTCTTTCGTGTGGTGGTTTGACACGATGGCTAGCCACGATACCATTTTGTTAGCTGCAGCAGGTTGTAGTAAGTCCTCCCATTTAGAAGAGTCATGGTTAGCTGTGAGGGAACTCAAGATTTTCCTTCCCTTTGCAGAGTTGATAGGAGTTGTTTTTAGACATCCATTTACATTTTAAAGGTGAAAAGCAGTGTGACGAATTTAGTTTGCCAAATGATTCACGTGTTTGCATGCATTTTCTCTCCAAAGCTTGAAAAAATCGCTGACACGAAAGAGCAAGTCTTCCCTGTCACTGGTGGATTCCAAGCACTTAAGGGGATAATCAATTCTGTGAGTATCAGGCCATAAGCTTAACATTTCCTCAAGATGACAGCATACTCTCCAATCCCACTTACTTTTCCAGGCAGAACTGGTTCCTAAATCAGTAATTGCAATATATTAAGTTCTCTCCACCTTATCTTAGAGATGCAGTTCTGTAAATTAACATTGCCTGCCGCTCCTGCGATTACTCATGCTCAGACCTATGTGCGCTCCATACAAGCGCAGTGAGTTTGAGAGGGATGTATTGAGGACTGGCTGCTATAGGTTTAGTGTGAAAAAAAATCGAGACTGTTAACTCCAGGAGAGTTGAGAACAACTGGTTAAAATCATTAGGAATGAGTGCAATTTAGGAATTGCCCAAATCTTCGTATACAGACAAGCATTCTAAATACATACTTGAGCCTTGACTTTACCCGCTTGTTTTCCCAGTAAGCGGTAAGTCTTTCAGTTCCTTTTTTTCAGCATGCCATGAGAAACCCCCGTCAGTGAGATGAGGCCATTCAACTGGTTACTCTGATTTGCAAGAAGGGATCAAAGCAAGAGAAACATTTTGGTTGTGATCAGTGCCTTGACAGTATTTTAGCCGTGTATCAAGAAAACACCTTTAGTTGTGGGGACCTAATTTATTTGCCTCGTCTTAAACTAAAGGCTGTGTGTTAAACAGTGCTGCTGCTGTGTGTAGGCAGCACAATGGAAAAAAGCTTACTGGCAAAAGTCAAGTCAAAACCAATAATGAAATCCTTTTTCTGAGAGAGATCGCTCTATAATTCATTTCCCTTTCCTTCTTTTTTTTTTTTTTTTAAATAAAGGAAGGATACTACTCACATACAGGATATTATGCAGTCATGAATTTATCGCTTCCCTTGAATAGTGTGTTTTTTGTGGAAGTTAATGTCATAATGAAACAACTTATTTTCCTTCTTGTTGCTTAAAATAAATGTAATTTCAGAATCTTCCTTGCACATTCTAAAGAGATACAATCAACCTTTTCATACAGTGACATTTGTTTTCCTGAAAAGATAGTACACCCCATGCGGTACTGCTTTTCAAAAATCTCATTCTGTGCCACTTTCAAGACTGAGAAGAATCAGTTATTCTGCTAGTGCGCAGTGGTGCAACACTGAAGCCGCTAGTGATAGACTTATAAATCAGAGCTGAATGCTTAACCCCAGTTGATTACGTTAAGTTTCCAAGGATAGCGCATTTCAAAATGGCTATGTCAAGATAGAACTAGATAAAGGACTAAAGACATTTGCGTTCGGCGTTTCCCCTCCACTGACCTGCAGACCGGACACTTCCAACGAGTCAGGTTTCTCCGCTCTTCTTGCTCTTTGAAGAAGCAGCAGCAGGAGTACGATCGCTTAAGATTTCTGAAGAGCTCAGCTTGAGGAGTCTGTAATTCAAACATGGGGAAGATTGGCATAACTTGTAGGTTGTCCCATTATCCCCCCATTCTCAGCCAAGGTATTTTTGGGCAGTCTCTGGCTAGTAGCGGGGCCAGTCTGCCTCTTTTATACCTCCCAGGAGCTTTCAAGCACCTTCACTTTTTTGTGGGCAGACCGAGGGAAGCTTTTCTGATAAGATTTGGCAGATAGTGTGTGCACAACCCTCAGTCCAGCTTCCTCTGGCACTTGTTAAAAAAGGCGAATGTAAAAATCCCAGATTTGTGCATATCATGGCTGTAGAGCAAGAAAAGATGCACACAATGGCAGCACCTTGTTTTAAGATAACAGTTTAGCACTGACAGGGACTGTAGAGAAAAAGCAAACTTCAAGTACGCTGTTCTACAGCTTAAAAGCATTGTCTGCTCCTTTAAACTGTGACCGAACTCCTGAATTGTTTAGGGTTTTATTTGACAGACTGCAGCTGGAATAGACATTTCAACGTTTGGCTTACTGCATATTTCTGTCCATAAAAAAACCTGTTACGTTGTGGGTATCGGGGCAATGGGAAATGTTTTTGCTGATAAATAAAGGAGCATAAGAAGGCCCTTTTGATAGAAACGTATCAACTGACTTCAGTCGTACCTGCATCAGCCTCATTTGTTGGGATAAAGGATCAAACAAAACCAGTTAGTGCTAGTGATACGATAGCTCCCCCGAGCTTTTAGAGGCTTGAATATTGTTTACAGCTTTCTGAAAAGCACTGAATCTAAGCGGAGCTTCATTTAGCCGACAAGGCATTTGAAACTCTCCTTTCCTCTTCTCTAGTAAGCACATGAAACATCCTTGTTGGAAGCAGTGGGAGAAGGATACCCTGCCAGTCCCTGTTTTACCACAGAGCATGGATGGAAGTATCCAGAGATAGGGTTTTTTGGTTTGTTTGTTTGTTGTGGCATGTGTGTGTGTGTGTTTTTAAAAAGCATGTGTGGCGGCTGTATTAACATGAGTTTTTGGTATGCTCTAGTTTTAACTCAATTTTTCTTGAAGGGGTTTTGACTGATTGTGAGAATTCATTCTCATTGCATCACGAAATTGATAAGCAGATCTAATTAAACATGAAATAGTTCAAAACCGTAAACAATAGTTCACAGTTTTCCTTTTTATTCACAATTATAAATCTATTTCAGTTTGCAAGTTAGCTAGAGAATACAGGCCTAAAGAGACAGTCTGTCACAGAAGGGAAAGCTAATTTCAAAACAGACGAAAATGAAATACCCATGTCACCAATATGCAGAAGTATTGCTCAAAGTGTGGTGTCAAAGGTGGAGTTGTGAAACCCTCCATGAACACTGTTGAAAACTTTTGTTTAGAAAAAATATACAGTTTACAGAAATGGCAGCGACCCAGCAATTAAAACCCTCATGCAAAACTACAACACAAAACCGTTCGGTAGGAATGATCAGAGGAGCTGCTCAAAGCCTGTACTACTACATTTATCTCTACCGGACTCAGCTGTGAAATTTTTTGGCTGCTACGTTGTTATACTTGTAGCAAATAACCAGGAGAACTGAGTAGTTAATCTTCATTTGTTGACAGAAAAAAAAGTGATGAGCTTTGTCATAGAGTATCTGTTAGTACCTGCTTCTGCAGTTGTTTGAAGTCTATGCAGTTATTCCAATTTATTTTCTTTGAACAGATACACAAAATATGTTTAAACATGGCCAGGGATTAACATTCAAGACAGTTGAAATAAGCATTTTAGAGAAAACCTAGCTCAGATATTGAAAAGCTTGCATTGTGTTTTGACCACCTCCTTAGTTCAGCTAAAATCCCAGTGAAGTAAGGATTTAAGCACCACCATGCTGTGTTGTGTTTCAGTTGAATGATATCAACTAACGGTTCAAAACTCTGTGTAGGCTTCTGTGGAGAGGCGACTATTTTGTGAAGTTTCCAGCTCTTCTGGCATTGCTAATACCTAACTTTACAAAGTAGTAACTGAACAGCATTGTCAGGGTAAATAAATCTAAGCAAAAGTTTAGAACTTAAAAGAAAAATGCTGAAGTCAAGTTATTATGCTATCAGGAACAATTTACTGATGTAGTTTGGCTGATAATTACATGGAGTATGGCCTCCTGAGCAAGCCGTAACAGAGCGAACTGTGTAAGGGTTTGGGAGTGCACAATTTATATCGCCATGTGACAGTTCAGTACTATATAAGAAAATGAAACCCATTCTTCTTTCCCTTCCTTTCCTATATATGACTTACGTTAAATCCTTTTTTTTTTTTGTACCCATTTGATGAAGAACCATTTGTGAATTTGTCATATACATTGTTAGATCCGAGTCCGTCTGTCATAACCAAAATAGCACCTTCCTGCCCGGCTTTGGGGGAGTGTTGGTGAGGCTGCATGTCTCTTCATACAAGGGTGCTGAGCTGTAAGCAAGCAGACTGTAAGCAAGCTAACTCAAGAGTAGCTCACTTGCATCTAACCAGATACGGTCCTGAACCACCACTTTCATTGGGAAAAAGTGTAGGGACTTGGTGCTTATTAAATAGCTCAGTCAGACTCACGGTTTGCCTAAGGGATTGGTTTCTGCAAGGTGACTAGAGACTGTGGGGCTGACAGCCTTGAGAGAGTTGGATATTATCTCAGACGTCAGGTAGACTCTTCTCTGTAATGCAAAAAACAGTCTTGGACTCCCTGTCAAGGAGGTGAGCAGAATGTGTTTGTATTCACAGAAGCAGGAGATGTTGCCGTTCTGAACACTGCTCATTTTAACTGTTTGATCACTCACGAAACGTTGAATGGAGAAATAATAAAAAGAAGCAGTTAAGTTAAGGAGCTGGGAGCCAAGGTGCTGCTACCGCTTGAATCAAACACGTAGAGTCTTTAGACAAGACAATATCTTTCATAAGGCTGAAGTTGCTGTAATGTTCCCATAACACTTAGCTGTAAATCAGTATGATTTCCCATTTTTCCTGCAATTTTTTCATGTTTTTCCAGCTTTCGTGGCACGTGTCTGTGCATGTGGTTTGCACAGCTCAGTAAATCTGAATCGCTTTTATGTGCCACGTTCTGAAAAACAAAACCAGTGAGAGATCCCTGCTTCCCCTTTCGCTTAAGCAAACACAAGTCTTACTGATTTGTGAGTTAAAGTTGTCTGGTTGTCTTCGCAGGCAGAATTGGACAAGGCTTGTGCCTTTAAGTTACATTAATGGAACTCACTTTAGTAACATTATTAGAGTGTGTGACAGTCCTAAGTAGGCTTATATACATTTTTATACTGACGTGAGTTGGCAGCACTTAACACAGGAAGTTAAAATGTATTTTGTACTTAAGCAACCCCACAAAAACTTATCAGATAAGACGACAGGAACTGATACATGCAGAACTGAAGTAGTAGTTGTCAGTTTAAAAAAAGTTCAGCCTAGAATTGTTTTATCTTAAACTGTTACAGACTTTCTTAATAATTCTACCTGAGAAGGATTAGAATAGAATTGTTAAGCTCTGTTTTTCCTTGTTCATTTTGTAGGTGCTCAGCTTTGAATTGTTCATTTTATGTGGGAAAACCACCCTTAAGCATACTGGACAAAAAAATTGATCAAGAGGTGTCAGCCGAGCACTT